TTACACTGGCAGGAGTTTGGAAGAACTTACTCAAGTGACCATGAACCGAGGATTGACTCGAAATGACTTTCTAGAACTCAGGAATTATCAAATACTCCTTCTAGAACGAGATCATGCATTAATCTAAAAAGACTGTGATTTAGTCTAATAGACCAATCAGGTTGCATGGTTGAGGAAAATGACTAGAAGAGCGATCAAAGTATTGCGAGGCTCCGAAGACATATCAAATGAATGTCAAAGAGTCCTGACATAGAAAATATTGAAAAATGCAATTAAATGAATACTATGCGTAACTCCCTTGATAAGAGTATAGGCACAATGGGTGTCTGTTGAAAGAGAGAAGCAATTAGTTTAATCCAAATGAATCAGATTGATAGGATTAGAATCGAGGAGAGCTGATTTGCCTCCGGACGAGGTGACAAACGATCGAAGTAAGTGTTGAACCGCAATGACAGTTGAACACCATTCGAGTCATTCTCTAAAACAATTAAATTAAATAAATAACGAAGTACCTACCTATTTTTGGAGGTATACTTGAATCTTGGAACTATTGCGGACCAAATAAGGACATGAAGATTCAAATTAAATAGTATCTGACCGATTGTAGAAGTTTCCTTGCGGTTCCGAACGTTTATTGTATTAAATTAATTGGACTGTGCGACTCTATATCATGTATGTATAAATAGCGATCCGATGTATCTGGAATAGAAGTGATTTTGGGACGACGTTGCAGTGCTAATCCGTAAAAAGGAAAGACACACTCCCGCCAGACTCAAACCTCTTCGCTAGCAGCCATTTGGGCCCGGCACTTGTGAGTATAGGAATGTCGTGTTCTGCTCCTTGTGACTGCGAGAAGTCTATCCAGTTGTTGGGTATTCTTTGAACTTAGGATCAGTCATTGGTCTTAAGGGCAAAACACGCTGTATGGTTGTGCCAGCACATAGTTCTAGCCCTCCGAGGGGTCTGTGTGTTTCAGTTTTAATTTACTTTGATTCGAACCCCCAATTCTTGATATACCCAAATCAATACAAACCAAAGCACAAATCGTGCTGAATCTACCTTGATCAAAGGAATATATCGAATCCTTAGAACGATTCAAATTGATTGATCAAAGCTTCTTACTTAGCTCTCAAAGCTTTGCGGAACCTTTGCCAATGCTACCCCTTGCTATTAAATAAATTTGATAGCAGTGAACTCGCATATTGTGTATTAGATTGGTTGGTTGGAGTGCCCATTAGATTCCTTCCTTTCTCTTTCACACAAAAACGAGGCAAGCTCGTTACCGACTGGCCCGATCTCGTGCCTCCTGTGCCGCCTTCCGTTTCGCCGCGCTAGCCCGAGCAGCGACCTCCTTCTTCCTCCTCTCCTCTTCTGCCTTTCTTGCAGCTGCCTCCTCCGCTGCCTTCCTTGCCTTCACCCTTTCTACCCTCGCTAGGGCCTCCCAAAGAATTTCATCCTCATCTTCATCGATCGGAGTGCCGGGCCTCGGGGGATCGGTGGGGCGGGAAGAGGAGCTGGCAGTGGGTTGAGTGGAGGTAGTGGTACGGCTAGTGGTCATGGTGGACTTAGAAGTTTTTTGGGAACTTAGGCCCTTGACGGCAAAACCCTGGGCCTTTTATAGGGCAAAACTGCGCACGGACCAGCGAAAATTTTTCCTCGAATTGTACTCGGTTTACGGTGGACCAACAAAATTTTCCTGATGACTAAAAGGGATAATTGCCGATACTAACGGGATATAAAATTTTCTCTCTGGTAAATAATGGTATTGCCCAATACTAACGGCTTTCGAGGGCTCAAGCCTAAGAGGGGGATACTGTCAAGTCCATGCCTTGGGCCTCCATTCCGCCGCTCGGTACTCCGAAGATCCACTCTTATTGTAATCTTACTCTTATTGTTCTTTCTCGCTACACATACCCTTTCGTTCTAGTCCCTTCTTATTGTCTTTTACTTTACCCTGCAGGTACTACTCGTATAGCTCTTAGTAGTTAGTCTGGCGCTCCGCACCAATGCGCCGCTCCGTAGATATAAATACTGCCTGTACGCTACTGTAGTTCCTCAGTTTAATTATTGACTTAGATTCCCTCCTTAACTCTGTGCTCCTCTAAGTCTTCAGGCTCAACGCCTTGAAGTACGTTCCACTCGACCTTAGGACTTGAACGTTCTCTGGTCTGCTCCTCGTCATCGGCGATACTGCTGCTCCGACCTGGCTGCTACTTAGCTCCTCTCTCTATACACTTGATCTCCGGGGACTAACGGCGTAACGGCGGTGTTGTTAATAACTTCACTACTGTCCCACTCATCTTCCGCACTTAGACACCTTGTGGCTTTGGCACGGTTACACAGTGTACATGATCTTAACACACCCGGAGCATGTTCAGTCCAATAGAGTTGAACTGCAAGCTTGTAAAGGTGATCTGTAACTTCCCGAGCAATTGCAGTCTTTTCAAGGTCAGATTTTGCATGACCAGGCATGGTAGTTGAAAGGGAAAGGAAACAAAAATAACATATGCTTAACCGCAGTCTCCAGTGTCACAATTGGTTTCAGAATTGGTTCCGGCACTGGTGTTTGGTGTATCTGATGCGCACTGTGGTGCATTTCCATTTTGAGCAGTGTGACCTTCGCATCAATCCATTTTGTCTCATGAATGGAATATATGGCTTGCTCACTGTTTGAAGCTGAAATATACCAGAATTCGGCCACAATTCAGTTTCTAAGACAGTATTTTACTCATTCACAGCAAGAAGGCCCTTTTGCTGCAAGTATTTCTTTCACAGAACACATATTCTACAAATGGACCTTCTCAGTAAACCATATTTGTGAATTCCGTAACCCATACAATTATCTATTCCTTCAAAATTTGTATCTTGAGTAGACTATATATGTATCTCAATGGTCAACAAGTTCTGAAGACCCGCTCAAAAATTGAAGTTGTGGGAGATATTTGTCTCATTGAGTGATAGTGTCTCATTGACCGGTAGTAAATGACTGTAAAGGAAAGATCCTGGGAAGATTCCCGCTACCTCTTTAGAGGTTGAAGGGTTTAGTAGACCCTAATTTTTCCAAATTATCCATCCTAGTCATCATTTTTTAGTAATATATCCCCTTTTAGCGATCTTTTTACTGTCAGTTGATTAGTCACTTTTTGTGCTTGCTCTCGACAACCATCATCTTCTGGTGACAAAAACTGGGTGTTTCTCTCTTGACAACCTTCGTCTTACAGTAAAAACTATCACTTCCAGTGAATAATTCCCACTACCTCTGTAGAGGTTGAAGGGTTTAGTAGACCCAGTTTTTTTTGGTCATTCACTTTTCAAGTTGATTATACTACTGCAGTACTACTGTGGAGACAGCTGGAGACTCTGGGTTGGGCAGATGCATCTACATGCGGCGCGCCCCATGCGCGCCGCTTTTTCTATCTACAATACAAGTACATTAGCCATCACCAATCAAGGTGTGGTCCCATTGTAGTACAGACCTCTACAAACACTACCTCTTACTACTCATCCCTGCATCTGTGTTCAGTCCATCTTGTACTTAGTGCTCACACAGACACACATTGACTGGTAGCGGGCCCTGCTGTTCACCGGCGCTACTTCGTTACTAGTGTACCCCTCTGGGGCCCTACACCTTGCTTGGCTTTGTGTTTAGGGTTATCATAGTCATAACAACCATTTATGAACATTATCTTTCACTGTATGCAATAGCTTCATCAGCTATTACACCTCTATAAAATGTGTAAAATATAGACACCTAGGATGTGGCTATGACCTTGTGGGATCATGGAATTAACAGAAGATTGCTGTTAATTGTTTCAATGAAGCAATGGTAAAGAAAGACATGTTGAGTTGGTGCATGTGTGACCACATGCAAAAAGAGGCAGTACTAAGCTGATCATATTTCAAACCAGTCCCAAACCAGACTCCTTCCCAGTCTCGTTTTGCAAGGTTTGATTTGTACCCGGCATGTAATTGATCCGATGATTATATAATATGAACCTTATCCATAACTGTTACCTTGCAAAAGAGACTGGCATAAAGGTTGGTGGCGTTTTGGCCTTGTTTGGCTTCGGCATTTACAGTGCGCACTTTTACTGGGCACTCAGCCTCATACCCTGAGCTTCCTGAGCCTCATGTCACATATAAAATGAGAAATATGATTTTTTTGCTACTATCTAACCATCCTACTCAAGCATGTTCGCACCAGCAATACAACAAGTCTTTGCAATTTTAGACTCACATCATCTCACTGTATACGATGTAGTGCAACAAGCAATTTGAGGATTGTTCGAGCTGCTTTCAGTTGCCATAAGCAGGGTCACACTTCAAAAACCTTCTCCACTACTTCATGAGCATCTTTATCAGACTCCGGCATGGTGTGAGTGGGAGGCATGAGGATGTTGATCAGCATTGATAGCCCATCTCAGAGTTTTATGTAGCGTGTTGCGCGTTGTGTATTGGCATGTGATCGCAAGAGGCCAAACAAGGCCAAAACGCCACCAACCTTTATGCCAGTCTCTCTTGCAAGGTAACAGTTATGGATAAGGTTCATATTATATAATCATCGGATCAATTACATGCCGGGTACAGATAAAACCTTGCAAAACGAGACTGGGAAGAAGTCTGGTCCCAAACTTGTAAACAGTGAAAAGTATACGGATTTGGTGGAATCTGATCTTGGACCGTGGTAAAATCTTCACGCGCGCTAATCGGAGTGGTATGCCAAAGGACCTATGCAAGCAAGGTGATCTTTGGAGGGCGTATGTAACGGAATGTTACTCGTTACTTGTCCTAACTAGTATGCCTCTTACTGAAACACGCTTACTATCCATGTCCTATGCCTTACAATAATTACCCCTTTTAGTTATCCTCTATTTCTGCGTATATAAGGGGTTTCGATGTACACAGTACGATAGGTTCTCCAGAATCATAACTCCCCAGTTTACAACAGTTCTATTGAGCACCTACACCAACCCGTGTGGCAATACTGTGACCTCGTCACTCTACTGTTACACTCCTGCCCCGAAAACGCCGCTCTGGACCAAGAAATCGATTCATGTCCGGTTGGACCTGTGCCACCAGGCGTAAATTCTTTCGAGTTTCAATCACCTGCACCAGATCATAAACTCATTCCCGAACAAGATCTCCTCGGCGTGGCAGCGCTGATCCTCACCGGAAGTTATGCTGAGCAAGAGTTCGTCAGAGTGGGTTATTATCAGAATACAGAATACGAGGTGGCGAGGAAGAGCGGTTAAGTATGGAAGGCAAAAAGGTTGCTGTGGAAAGATTGGTGAGGGACATTACGAAGAAGCCGAGAGTGACGAGGTTTCAAATCAAGTGGTATGTCCTTTCTACGTTGCTGGAATCAAATGCTTAGACGTTTGCTCTTTTCTTGTAGGGACGTAGCCCCCCCTCAATCAACAGGTGCACTAGGAGCAGCAACTTCTGCGGCTGTTCCTTCTGCGGACTCGTACGGCGACGACGACAATGAAAAAGACCAAATGGACGTTGATACTCCTACCAAGTCGAACGGTAATATACCAATATCGTGAATTTCGTCTACTGTATCCCATCGCCCTTCTTACATGTGGGATTCAAGAATGATGTCCGTCCTTGCTTCATGTTCAGTGGTACTCTTGGGTCGAGTGCCCAACTACTGTTGTTTGACAGGCATCGATCGTGTGTCATCGCATTTCCGTCTTTCAAATCTCACTGCACCCTTCATTGTATTTGATCTCGAATGTGTTCCTTACCGAATCTCCTCATTTCCTGCCCCCTTGCCATTGCTGTTCGAAGTGGGTACCCTGGTTGATTGGTTGAAGGCATACGCCATAGCATTTTCCCCCCCAAGTTCACACAATTTTGTGGTTTATTCCTACATCTGAGTTTCTACTTGAACGTTGAACGACGTATACATATATGCACTCTGACCCCGTCGAACTAGTATTAGATACATTGGCAGGTCACAATCAAGACAGAGCAACCTTTGATACAGTTCCTCCGACAATCCATGACCCTTTAACTTGTTTTATGCCAATTCTTGACAGATGCATGTTTTATTTTTCCACCCTCGGTCCCCTGCAATTCTCCATCCCCTTCTGATGTTGCCCATCCTCCGGCATTCTCAAATCCCGGAACGTTCGAAGCGAGGAAATGAATTTGATCCTTAGCTTCTTCAGAGGTGCCACCAAAAATGGAGCCTGGTTCCAACCGACTCTCGAAGCCGCAAACTTGTAAGAATCTCTTGACCGTTGATTGAGCTAACTCCTCTGCTGCCTTGTCCTTTATAACCTTGGCAGGCTTGCTACTCATATATGGCAGATGGAATGTCGACACTGAAGCTCCCGCAACAGGCTCGGTTGGTGGGAATCTAAAGACGACCACGTCACTACGGGTCTCCAAAGATGCCATAGAAGCCAAGCCACCCTGGTTGGGTGGGGAGGTCAGTCCAGCAAGGGGGGCGGGGCCGGCATCTCGACGGCTCGCTACTGGGGCAGTATACACAACGGTGGCAAGCCCAAGAACAAAACAGGCGACGAAGTTGCAACGCATGTTGATGATGAGGTGAGAACTGAAACGTGAGTAATGAGGAGTAATGTGGGTATTGTTCTTCAGAACACCTTCAGAATGGAGGAGGAGGGACATTAACTCACTGGAATAAGAAGCAACAAGTATGAATAGTCGAAGAAATGAACGACGAGGATGCGAGAATTGAACGGATCGTTCTACGGTCTAAGGGCTTGGGTGCTTCTTCGACCAGCAAAGAAAAGGTGAGGACCGACCAGCAGTTGGGGGGATGATTCCCTAGCGCCCCACGCTTTTATACAGCATGTCCTGCTTAGTGAAGCCTTCGTATCGAGGTAAAGATCGTAATTTGGCTGACCATCCTCCGACGCTCTCCGACCAGGGCCTCAGGGAGAATTTGCAACCAAGGAGCCTCCAGATGTGTGGGTATGTGATCACCCTAGAATTCTTCCACTATTAATTTATCCGTCTTGCCGATACGATGGCGCTGCATGACAACCCGCCTTGAAAAATGAAAGAGATTGGTATATGAGTACACGCTAGTACATGCCTGCACACGTCTCTGTATGCAAATTTGTAGTTAGCAATTCAATCCCCTAACAATAAGTGTGCTGTTGATCTGTACTTGGTATATATTATTTTTCGATGTGAACCATATTATATTTTTTTATGTAAGCTGATTATAGCAAGCCTGTTTCAGAATATTGCACCAGCTCTGGGGCCTGTACGTGTGCCAGTCAAGCATGAATAGTATACATCCTCGCCAGAGTCTGAACGCATTTTTCCCTCTAGTGTATCACAGACAGATCATCTCCCTCCGTGCCTTGTCCACCTCCGTGTCAAAAATTCTCAGCAACAGCTCCAACCTCCGTGTCTCGCCCTCATATTCTCCATCCTGTTCCTCTGTTTCCTTCCCATCTTCACGTAAGTATTCTGAATGATTTGGAGAGTCGGGATAATCAGTGTAGTTCGAATAGTTCGAAGCAACCCATGCCCGCTTGATCATGATCTCCAACGGAGCGGGATTTAAGCTTCGCGATTGAAGGCGGTTGTGCAAACTCTGCTTGTTTTTTACGCCTTTCACGCCATGGGGGCGGGAAGGCTCGTCGGGTTGATAGTACATCAACGAAGGGAGAGGGGCAGTGCGAGAAATTTGGGCATATGTCGGCACATAGAGAGCAGAAAGGGCAGAGAGAGCAGAAGGTATAGAGGGTACAACAGATATGAGGGAATCACGTGTATTGAAGTAGTAAAAATCACGATGGAAAGAATGATGAAGCGGATTAGGGGTAGTGGCAGAAGCTCTGGACTCGGTCGAGTGTTGAAGAGAGGATGGATCCAAAGGAGTCGCATTCGAAACCGGGAATGACGAAATTTTCAAGATACGTCCGATGATCTTCTCCGTCGGTCTTTTCGTCTTGTCTGTATTTCCTTTTTTACCCACTCCATCTTGAACCTGGTCTCCCTGCATCTTTCGAGGAGCAGAAGACAGAAGCCACCTGAACTGCCTGAAGTCTCCGGCTCCTATACTGAGCACCCAACGCGCCCAATAGGATCCTTTTCCTGTTCCTTGTCTGAGAGCGAGGCGAAGGTCAGACGTTACGGATTGAAGGAGATGCCTAAGAAGGATCCGATATGTGCGTAGAGGCACGGGGATTAGCGGGATTCGAGGAAGTGACGTTAGCTCAGCCGCGATTGTCCCACCCTCCTTTACCAAATTTTCAGCACTTCCCTTTCCCTCTATTTCTTCCTGAGTCTCCATTAGCGCTAAACCCGTCGATAACGGAGACGAAGACTCCGTCGATCCATCCGAATGCACCCGGAAGCACTTTAGCACAACCATAGCCGCTGCATAGTCTGCTCCCCCGCCGGAAGGAGACCTATTAAGAAATGTGAGTAAGGCGGTGTTGAGCAGAAATTGAGATTGCGCAGTCGTTTTGACATCTAGAGCGTCGCCAATGGAAGTGTTTGACTTCTTGTTTCGTTGTTTTGGTTTTTGAAGGGACGTAGGTACTTGGATGAGATGAGAGAAATGATACCGCATCATATCGTGAAACAGTTTGCGAGGTGGAAGGACAGGGGCGACGGGAGGTGATGCATTGTCATCGACGTCGGATGGCTCGTCAGAAGGGAACTCGTCACCGTCGAATTCATCAGACCCAATAGTCAAGTCGAAACCGTATTCATCCTCGATGATATCCTCATTGGCCTTCCGAGCGTCTGTAGCACCGGAAGTGGGCAAAGGGGAAGAAGAAAAGCGCCACCCAGGTCTGCGCACTAGCAAGTCCCAAAGGGTGCGGAAGGTGAAGAAGTCGGGTCTGAATGACGGCTTGTAAGACTCGGTCTCATTTCGCGCGGACTCATTCCCCACAGAAACTGTTGGAAATATACCTTGACTTTCCTGGGCGTCGTGAGCTTGACACAAAGTGCCATACAGAGTAAAGGCTTTTTCGAACGCTTGTTTTTGTTCTGTTTTCCTTAGTTTTCCTCGCTCCCTGCGATTGATTTCGGTATCTGAAGAATGACCAGAAATGGAATTCCAGATCTGCCCTATCTCTGAGGCGTCGTCGACGGTGGAAGTAGGGGTTTGGTCGGAATCGGCAGACGTGTTAGCGGAGCTGGATGAATTAGAGGACGTGCGATGGCCACCCGCCCTGTCCGCTTGGTCTCTGAGAAGAATATTAATCAGACTCCTATCAGAGGGTATATCGCGTGAGGCCATGATAGTGAGGACAAGATCTATGACTTCTGTACTTTCGTGGGCTGTGAACGAGGATAGAGAAGCAAGGATAGTGTTGTATGGATGTGAGCGCGCCATGACGTGAAGGTATTGCGAGTCTGTGCTATTTAGATCGTCACATCGCGCGACAAATTCGAGCGCCTCGGGTACTTTGCCTTGTTTAGTAAGTATTCCAGCAAGTAAAGAGACTATGCTCAAGGGGGGGATATATGGTTCGGAATGGGATGAGGTCTGTTCTCGACATCCAATGTACACCCAAATGACCCTTTCGATCAGTGCATTTCCTGTACCAAGTTCGGAAAGCAGATGAACTAAGGCGAGCAAGAGATGGTCGGACGATGTGTGGCGGAAAATTATGGAGAGAGAAGAGATTGTCTGGCCAATTTCGGTTGCAGGGTCTGCAAGGGTCTTCTCGGACATAGCCAATGCCATTCCCAGCATCATGGCCTCGGTCTTCCATCCTTCACCTCCACTTCTACCACTGGCGGGAACATAGCCTTCCCAGTCTCTCATGCGATTATACACTCCTGCAGCTTGCACGTAGCATCTTTTAGAGAGAAGCAACTGCACGAGTTGTTCGAGAAGTGCCGCGCGGGAAGCAGCATGAGTATATTGCTGGAGGTATTGTGGCGAGGACAATCGACGGTGAATGAACGAGTCTAGCTGCGAATTGGATGGTTGAGATGCGATAAAACGTTCTATTGAGAATAACAACGGGTTGTGACTTGGTACTGTGAATCTATATAAGTTTAATATTGGAGTTTATGAGGAAAGGACGTACTCGATTTGAGCCCGTGATTCCTCCGCGCATTGATATAATTCTTGCTTGACCGTTCACTGCGCACATCCACGCCTTTGCCGTTCGATTTTTCTTGACTTGTCGTTCCTTTTCGCTTCTTATTCTTCTCATCCTTCGCATCCCGATGGATTCCATTTGACGAGCTTGCATGCGATATATTGGATTTGACAGCAGCAGCTACATATTTTCAAGATTAAGGCAGAGTCTAAACATAGTAGTTCAAACCTACCAGTGCTCGCTCTGCTGCAAGGTGTACTACCCCAGCGTTGACCTTCGAAGGTATTCTTCAAGCCATGGGCATTTCCTCGAAATTGGCGCAAATTCAAAAGCATCCAATGGCTGCTGCTGCTGCATAACAAGCGCAACTCATTGACAGTGAACGTAGTATAGACCCAGGCAAAGAGTCTACTCGTGGTGCGAACCGAAATTCAAACTTTGGTTAAGGAAAAAATTCGTACGGTGACGCAGGCTCTCGTGACCTTTTCATTAAGCGCCTGCCCGTGACCGATGAGTAACCGTGTACGCGTACTCGTCTCCTTCAATCAATCAGAATTGTCTTCCTTCATCCACCATGGCACCTATCTCAGTAAACATTAAACACGCAGGAAAAACGCATGCTGTCCAACTGGACACGGATCTTCCTCCAGCAGTGTTCAAAGAAGCTGTGTACAACGCTACCGGCGTACCAGTCGATCGAATGAAAGTCATGGTCAAGGGTGGAATATTGAAGGTGACGATTTTCTGCCGTTGGGAACTCGTACCTCAACTTCATTTCGGAATTTTCTGATGCTGTTTCCTGCTTTAGGATGATTCAAACTGGGCCAAAATCACGCCAAAACCTGTATGTAGCTTGGGTAGATCATCGTCTTGATCTGACTTTCAAGGCAACGCTAGGGCCAAACATTAATGGTTATCGGAACGGCGGGAGAACTTCCAAAAGCACCAGAGAAACCGATCGTGTTCTTAGAAGGTTAATATCCGTGACAACATGTTTAATTTCCTCCTTTTTACCCTTGGTCACACCCTTACAGACATGGCAGACGAAGATCTCGCTGGTCTGGAACGACCTGTTGGACTACTCAAGTGCGCCTCCTTCCAATGCATGACCACAATTTCCTAATGCTCGCCCTTATGTCACTAGCTTAGGGAACACTTGTTATATGAACTCTACTGTTCAAGCGCTCCGCGCCATTCCAGAGCTTCAGGTCGCATTAGGAGTGTGAGCTAAACGTTCGTCATATAAGAACCCTGCTTACCGATTTTTTTATTTTGCGCGCCGTACGCATCGCTACACAGACCTTCACCCAACGCTTCATCTTCTTCGTCTTCTACGAATCCAGATCTTGGCGGCACCCTCCCAAGACCTCTTCGTGACCTTTACGCTAATTTATCCCGCACGTCAGACGCGGTAAACCCCGCGAGTTTTTTAAATATATTGCGTCAAGTCAATCCTCAATTTGCCGAACGCGATCGCAATCGAAAGGGCTCAATGGGCATTGGAGGTGGATATGCTCAACAAGGTGTGTCCTTTTCTCACAACCAGTTGCTTTACTTTGTTATTCAACACCTTTCCTTCATTGTAGACGCGGAAGAATGTTACTCCCAGGTCCTCAATTCCGTCCGCGATGTTGAGGTCCCCGACATCCTTATTCGCCCAGGTGCCGTTAACGGTGGTCAGCGGAAAAGGTTCGTTGAGCAGTATATGATGGGCGAAATGCGAAGGGAGTAAGTTTTACTTGTCTACTCTTATGAACTTGACCACCTGACTTCTTCCTGGCTAGGTTATCCTCTCCAGAAGCGCCAGACGAGCCACCGACCGTTAGCAATGAAAAAATTATGAAGATTGAATGTAATATCAACTCTCAGACGAACTACATGCACAGTGGAATAATGTCTGTGAGTGATTCGTTCCAGTCACATGTCCGCATTCGCATCTTCTCCTTCCAATCCAACGCTGCTGTTGATGCGTTCGCCTACATCTTTCTCCAACGTAAATTCATCCTCTCCTTAGGCCCTCACCTCCGTCATCTCGAAAACATCTCCGACCCTTGGTCGCGAAGCTCAATACACCCAGAACTCGCGCATCACGCGTCTCCCAAGCTATCTTAATGTCCATATGGTGCGGTTTGCCTGGAAGGCTGACGTGCAAAAAAAAGCCAAAATCATGGTAATGTTTCTCTTTTTCTAATCTCCCTTTCCTTCACCGTATCCCTGATTATACATCTTCGTGTAGCGTAAAGTGAAATTCCCCACGACATATGATGCGGTGGAACTTGCGAGTCCTGAACTAAAGGAAAAGCTTCTGCCTGCCTCCAGGCGACTACAAGAAATCGAAAAAGAGAGAGCGGAGAGGAGGAAAGTGAGGAAGCGAACTAAAATCGCTCTTGCTCCCAGCGGCCCGTCAACAGGCACGCAAAACTCCACCGCTGTTTCTGGTGAAGACATTCCTATGGCTGGCACTGAATCTGCAACTCTGACGGGGGGTGCATTAGAGGATGAGGAAGTGTACAGAGCTCGCGAAAAGAAAGAATTAGAATCCCTCATTCATCCTGATTTGAAAGCAGACGTGGGGTCGTCGACTACAGGGCTGTACGAGCTTGTTGGTGAGTTGGAGATCGAATACCAATCTTGTATGAGTGATGAAATTATGAACGTCGAATCTTTCTAGCTATAATTACACACAAGGGTGCCGCCGCGGACTCAGGACATTATATGGCTTTTGTGAAAAAAAGCGTCTTCCACGGGCCCCCTCCAACTTTGTATACCGGTCCGGCTGCTGATAATGCAAACACAACTAATCCAGAGAGTGCTCCGACAGGAACTGCAGATCCAAACGCCATGGACACTGACGATACATCTGCTGGCACAACATCCGACAAGGGCAAGCAGCCAACTTCCGATGCATACGCCTACGAAGATGACGAAGATTGGTATAAATTCGATGACGACAAAGTGTCGGTGTTTCCAAAGGAGAAGCTTAGTACGCTGGATGGTGGTGGGGAAGATTCAAGTGCGTATGTGCTGTTGTACAGGAGTAAGGACTTGTAGATGGAGAGAGAATATGCTGCATATGTTATACACATAGGGAATAGCTTATATTACAGGGTGATTGAACCAGTGGTCTGTATAGAGAATGTTATGTCATATGTACATGTCCTCGATCGTTGCCGCGAATTCTACGTTGAAATTCTACCTAGATATGTGGTATATAATCGGTCCATTCAACATTTTGCAAAGCACTACAAGGTAAGTCCCTCAGAGTAAGAAACGATTGGACAATGAGAATCCAACGAGCCATGACATAAGCTAAAGGTGCAATATACCAGATAATCCCAAAAACATACTTGAGGAAATCAGGAGCAGTCAAAAGTATATCATGCCTTTGAGCGTATGCTTTGTACGCCAGCTCAACATGAACTGGAATGAAAGTTACCACAATAGAAGATATCCTCCACGTTATCTCCTCAGTTCTCGTCGGAAATGTTGAGATCCACCCAATCCAGTGGATCAACCCAAAGAGGGCTGCGACCGCACAGGGTATAAGCAGCGATATCTTGTAGATCTTGAACCGAAGATCACTGCCCTTGAGTAACTCTTCAATTTTCTCGTTGACGTCCTGTTCATCCTGGTATAGAACTTCCTCTGAAGAATTGTCTTCCGCCCTACTCAAACCCAGGAAATAGCTGAACACCGCCCTGACCGGCATAAAAATGATGAAGAAGATGAAGAAAGCAATCTTGTGCAGCAAATGAGTTCTCCGAAAGTCGACACTGAAAACATTGTCCCAGCCTATCATAAAGGCTTCCTGAAATCTGTCTTTAGGCGCATGGTTCCCGTTTGAGTCGTGAGGCTGGCTCAAAGCTGCAGACTCCGAAATCGGATTCAACTCCATAAATGGCACTGTTTCTCCCGCCCCAAGATCCGACAGAAACGGCTCGCTTTGCTCTTCATCTGGCATGGACGCATGATTGTAGCTTATATTGCGATCTACATCATCAAGATCAGGTGTGGATTCCAGTTCTCGGTCATTATCGAGTGAATGTGTCGAGGATGGTCGTGACAACGGAGACGCAATTGGGGAAGACTTGATATCACTATCACTCTCTTTGACTTTTTCCAAGTCGTCCCGTGTCGCCTGAACACGGATTGGGTATTGGACTCGCAGTGGCTTCTTGAACCAAAAGGTGTAGGTCATGATATTGATAGTTGCAAAAGCAACAGTCATGACCTCGAGCTCAGTGAAGGGTAGATCCTGAACCCAACGTGCAGCAAGCTGAATGATGAACCAACCGGTTTGCCCAATTGCTATGACCTTGGTTAAACCATCACTATGACTTCGATCCTGGATTTCCTCTTCGTCAATTTGACCGATGAAAGTAGCAGTATCGAAGTTATCGGGAAGATTATAGAGATGGTTTACACCCGATCGAGATCCTTTGGGCAACGCTAACAGCTTCATCGCAGTGATATCTCCATTCTTGTCTATGGGACAAAGAGTGAAGCCACCCATCAATGCAAAATGAGCGTGTGTCATAGTCCACCCATTGGCCCTATGTCCTGCAAACAGACAGAGCATGGGAAATCGTATATGATCGGAGATAGAGATTGACAACACGCACTCTTCACGAGTTCCCTCGCTGCAAGCCGTTGCCGTACAGCAATCCACAATGTTGCCTCTGGTGCAATGAGTGTCAACAGCATGAATCCAATTCTCTGCTTTATTCCCTTCCATTGCTCAACTTTATTTGGTCGGGGGATGTTCGGATGAACTGCTACCCAAGTACAGGTAAAAAGAACAGCTAGGCAACTCCACAGAATCCCGACAACCGTTCGAGGACAACTGCCAATGACAACACAAGGACTTGTAGCATCCGCGAACGATGGCGATAGTGATGGAGGGGCTAAGGAGGAAGTAGATTCGACGGTTGCCAATATGACTTTTGTGAAGGACGTGGATATTTCAGCATTCGGTAGGAGCATGTTCTGAAGACAGAAACTCCACAGCATTTAAATCTTGATGTCGGTTTATATGCCATTTCCGAGCCATATGACATATCAAATGGATCTAGCCGTGGGGTATATCCCTGAGTTAGAGCAAGCTAAAGGACAGCTAAGTAAGGTTAAACATTGCAGATGTATACTGTCCGGATCTGTCAATCGGTCGATACCTCAAAAAATGAAAAGATGTCTCCAGACAAAATGTCCATGACAGGGTTATCTTGAACGTGATGCTAAGGCACAACTATGAGGTATGAGGGGGAACATTCCGCGCAGAGACAGAGAACCATCGATGATTAAGGGATTGTCTAAGGAGAAATCGTTAATCTTTATCGCTTGTTTTACTTCCATTGGGGAGTGGCTCTACCTTACGTCAAGTACTTGAAGAGCTTTTAACAGAACTAAGCAGAATTGATAGCCATTGCTATTGATAGTCCTGAAATTCCCAGGACAAGTTACGAACGAACTGAGAGGAAATATGGTGAAAGTGGAATGACATCGCAAGATGATCGTATTTGGATATTATTATACTTTTTGCGCACCTCGGTCGCATAATTGTCGTAGATCCTAGTCATGAGGAGGAAGGAGGAGGAAGGGGTGAGTTTACAAAAAGGAACTGGGATCACCTGACCTACGTAGGATCACCTGCTCCGTTAACTTCTCTCTCAGTATAGACCATGTAGTCACGCCCGGATGACAGGCCCGGAAAAATTTGATCGGATTTTTGACGATGCCGTTTTGCATCGTCAAACTGAATTCGATCACGTTACTATTCAATTTTCCTCCTTCCGTCCCATTGCCGGTCTCCTCTCCATATTCAGCCCTCTCTCTCTCTCTCATTTGCATCCGTAAACGGCTATTGACGCTCGCCGTCCCTTGCAGCTCGATCAACAATGGCGCTGCTGCCGCCGCCGGCTCCTTGGATCCACTCATCTCCGACCTCGACGCGCTCGACACCCAATCGTTCACTACCCTCTGCGGGGTTCTGAATCTTCACGCCGCCACGCTCTCTCTGCTCACTCTACGTACTCAACAAGTCATGGACGCCATGGAGGTCGATTCAAACGGGGAGTCTTCAACCAATATCAAGATAAATGGCGAAATTTTCAAGGTCGTGTATCCTCCCGAGCCTCAGCCCACCGGTACAGTTGTTCTTCCTGGAAAGCAGGAAGACGGTGTGTTCCACGCTATGTATAAGGATATGTATGTTAAATTCTCCTTTCTTTCTAATGATGTCCTGATGAATCTTTTGTTACAGCAACGTTTTGACACGCCCAGCGCTACTAGAACTTTGCAAAGAGTATTATCTCAGTAGTCAAGGAAATATGAAGGTTTTGAGGGAGAAGATCACTGCGTTCAGTGAGAACAAGATTCGTTGGCCCTCGTACGTTGCCTCTGTCTTCTGCCTGCTATCATGCTTCATGTAGCTTGAATTTAGCATTATCCCGAGTGCTCGACGTTCACATCGTGGTGTCCGCAGTGGTGGTATTGTGAAGAACAAGCCTAAGCCCAAGGAAGGTCCTGTAGCACCCCCGAAAGCCAAGAAGTTCAAGCCTTCGCTACTGCGGAGAAATGACCTACTGGGACGGCCGTTGAACACACCACTCAATGCCCAACTTTTCGCCACAGAACGCTCGAAAGATTTGCGAACCATAGAGCAAAAGGAATCGGTTGTGTCCTGGGTGTGTACTACCTTCACTTTCCAACCACTCATTGCTGACTGAATTCCCCCTAGGCAATAGAATTCGACAATGCCCACCCACACATCCCGCGTGAAGAAATCGTACGCAGGCGGAAAGCTAGAGAGGAGGCAAAGGCTGCTGAACAAGCAACTACTACGGTTCGTTTATTTGCGTTTACTCGAATGTTCTTTCTAAATAAAACTCTGGGCAGGTCAAGTTGGCAGAGTTCATGCGTTCGATGGAGGTCCAAATATCGAACCTCACAGCAACATTTGAAAGGCTTGGTCTGGGACTGTTATCGTCTGCGATACTCACCCAGCAACCAGGGGTTACGACGAATTCAGGTAGGTTGTAATCTCAAAAAGGCAACAATTTCGTCAATATCCCTACCCAGGTATTCTCAACAACCCTCTCCAACCCGGACTGGCAACAGCCCTGGCAGTTTACAACGCTGCTGCCCCTACTAATACGAGTGAGTTATTGTGATTTTTTTTTGTTTGATAACCTCGACTTATCACAAACGAAGTACCTGCCTTTGGCGTTAACACCGCAGCCATAAGACAGGCAAATGTCGCAGCAACAGGCGACCCATTGCCAACCGTCGCAACACCTCCGGTACTGGCTGTGAGTGGAACGACCACCAACAGTTCATCAGCAAATTCCACTGCCCCCATCCAGAGGCCATCAGTCGAAGCTGAAAATCAACTCACTATTGCACATGGGAAGGTCATCAAGTATCAATATAGTGAAGTTCGTGAACCCCGACAAATATCATTTGTTGCTGATGTTGCTCGTTTGGACCGCGTATGGGACGATGAAGGGCCAAACTGGGATCCACTTGACTGCGGCAAAAATCTACTCGAAATCAACGGCACTCCGGTTGCGCTTCGGTACTGGTGTGACATATTCCGTGGCAAAGGGGACGGTACTTGGAGTTGGTTGAAAAAGTATTGGACAGAATGGAAGGTATCTTAACACTTAATTTATTATCACCTCGAATTTGATGCTAATTTCTATTCAGTATGTTGCAGAGCGATACCGTGCTAGCAGTCCTGATGACTTTTGGAAAGAGTTTTCATCTAGCAATGGTGAACACTTCCATTGGAAAGCTATTACGGATCGATTACGAAAAATCCGTGGTGTGCAGGAGGAGCATCTTGTGAACAAAGCAAAGTTCGAGTATGGCGCTCGTTTTTCTGAGGTTTTTGTGACAAATAAAGGCAAGGTGCTTACTGATAACTCTGCCATTGCCCGTCGATATTGTGACCTTGCCAAACGTTCTGCTTCATGAACTTGTTTTATTTACTCTTATACTCTAACTCATATACTTATATTGTACGCTACAACTTGGTTAATGGACAAGATTGATTCTATCTCCTAAGCACAGTGACAAGATCGATTACAGGTAGGACAGACAGTAGTGGGAGCACGGTCCATGTTGAAAAAGTCATCTCGGTCCACATGAGGGTTGTCGTTCCAGGAAATGAGATATTTCACAATGGTTAAGTGCGTGAACTCCTGACTCCATCCACCCCACTCACAAATTTGACGCAAAGGCCACCGACGTTCCACCGACAGCCATTGACACCCACCACGTCGGAATGAATGAGTTCCATAGGGGATAAAATCGACGCCGATATCCAAGAGATTGTTGCGAAACATTTCAAGAAACTGTTCCGATGTCTACAAGTATATTGAGCAATAACGGAGGAATGAGTTGATAGAATTTACCATTGGTTCATTCTCTTCTGCGAGATGATCATTTGCCCGTATTTTTCGAAAAAGGTATCCTTCTTTCAGTCCTGTAATCCGAACCCATCTTGCATAGGCCCGTACAACACACAGGTGCTGATATTCTTCTGGCATTTCCCAGAAAACAAACGGCTTGATATCTAGTGAAGTTCGAAGCCTGTAGTAAGTGGATGCATATTTTGATATAAGTCCTATTCAACTTTACCTCCAAACTGACTAGTTTTCCGAAATGGAAGGCGAAGGGTAAGCATACCTCGTCCACTTTTGGGATCCTTGGATGTCGTTATATCTTGCAGTTGAATCTTTAATAACTCATCGATGCGGAGTAATGCACAGAAGGCAATAACATAACCAAGAATCAACAGGGTTCGAGAATATGCACCTAACTGGCCTTTCAGACCACGACGAGAAGTGGATTGATAAGCCTTAGGTTTTTGAAACTCGGGTTGCTTGTTATAATAATAAAGGCTTTCGAGTAGCACCTAAGAGGTCGAAACTTCAGACAAAGGTAAGGTTCAAGTGATGGAGATACTTACTGATGTGACTGCTCGTGCACTGGTTGGAGTGTCCCCTGATTGTGTCTACGGAACATTATGTTAAGAACAAGAGAGAAGATGATGTTTGAAAGTAATAACTTGCTTTCCGACGACGAAGGCTGAGCATATAAGTAGAAACGATCTCAGAAACAGATGGATTGCCAAGCATCTTCCCCGTAATTTCACTGCTGTGCCATGCCTGCATTCCTAAGCCATGAATCCGTCCAAATCCAAACGTAGCAGCTGCTCGCATCTTCTGAGCATGTGTATAGGTTGATTTTTCTACATTTGCTGGAATTGAGCTACCGTCGAGATTTATTGTATCGCAGCTGGAAGAAATTCATAATCTGACAGAGAACACCAGAGGTTGAGCCTTGGACCTACAATTCCATGATCCATGCAACAATATATACTGCGGCTTGAGGATGGGGATTGGGACAAAAAAACTGGCTTTCTCGACTTATCATTTGCCGTTCAATCAGAAATGCTTGACATTGTTTCATAAGTCTTGTAAAAGAGGTTATCAAAGCTGTATTGAACAATGAACAATACATACCGAAGGTATTCTTGTGCTGTTTTTTCCGATACACCTTTAGAGATTTCTCTGACTGCATCGTTGAGCCCTGACAGATCATTTGAGCTCTGGTTAGAGCTTATGTCCAAGTTTGCAGTGTCATAGCTCTCTTCAAGGTCATCAAGGATATCAGCAGGGTTTGATTGATGGTCTGTTGAGACAGCCTTCAAAAGACCATTGTAACCTCTGTCAGAGGAGATGTCGACCACCATGGTTGGGAGGAAAACGAGACGGAACTAGTGGGATTTAATAGGAAGGTCAAACCCCTATTATCAAAGCAGGAAACGTTCTTAGCTCGAGGTTTAACCATGCCATGAGTTGTAATTCTGTTTAATTGTATGGAATACAAGCACTCGCTGCCTTCAAGATCAAGAAAACGAAGGATAACACAGTTTATATTCTATACAACAAATAATGAATGTTTAACAGGCAATTTACTGACAGTTACTGGCGACAAACACGTTTATTAGGATGTAAAACATGCAAGGGCTCCTCGAGGTCGGAAAGATCACTTAGCTCATCTAAACCAGCCTCAGTCCGAGCTGCACCCCTCCAATCACCGTGACAAATATCTGTCCAACGGGTGAATTTCTGCAAAGACAACTTCCATCGTGATGCTCGTGCTAACTCACGCATTACTCGTTCTTCAGGAGTAGCTCTTGCTAGAAAGGTTTTATCAGATTGGAACCCATTTTCACGCCATCGAAAAAGACCTCCTGATGAATATTGTACCATTGCATATCGGGTTTCGTGTGTTTGAATGGGGATGGTAGAATGAGTGATAAGTGCAGAGGGAAAAAGGATGGTGGAGCCAGGAGGGAAGCGAATGACAAGCCCAATGTCCCAAAGCACGAGATGCCCGCCTTTGTCAGGGTTGAAAGGTCCCATGCTGGTATCAGCACACCAGCTGGAGGCGCGGTTATCAGGATCCATGTGAGGGGGAGAAAACGAGAGGGGTCCCAAGTTGAACGTTGTGGCAGCAAAGGCAGTCTCGGGGAAGTTGGCCCGTAGCTCTGGCTGCTTACGAAGCAGTTCGTTATTGGTGTCCACATGTTCCATGTAGTTCTTGTGACAGAAGGTGTTAAAGAGAGCTAGAAAGGGTTCAGTAAACATTCAGGGTTCGAAGAGACATAAAGCACACCGTTTTGAAAGCCAGAGATGCGACGAATTGCTTGATTTTGAAGGAGCTCTTGCATGGCTTTCCGATTGGCCTTGCCAGAGACTCTATAATTCTGCGGTTTACGCCGCCCGTTGCCGTAGCCAAAACCGACTGTTCGAGAGGCAAAATCTCCGCGCCGACCATGTTTCTGTGCTGCGGTGAAGGCACTAGATTCACGGCAACGCAAAGCAGCAGCAGTAGCAGCAGCTTCGACTGCCTGCCATTCCATCCCCTTGGACCCATGAGGAACGCCGCCAAGGACAGCAATAATACGGTCATGGCTGTCGACAAGCGTTATGCAGCTCCTGGGAAATATAGACAAAGTTAGCAGCAGAACACAGCATCGGGGGGAAAATGTACGCACTGTCCGTCCCATCGAAGGAGCTTCAAGCCAGACATCGAGGTCAAGGCTTCAAGATTCTTCCACACCCTTTGAAGCCCATGAGACAGTTTTTTACGAGGATTGGCGTTCCAACCGCTAGATGAGACTGGGAGGCTGGAGGCGTCGAAGTCCTCTAGTTCGACCGGCAAGGCTCCTTTGGCTAGTTCCACAACAAAGGGCTTTACACCCCGGTTCGCAGCGCGTTCAATCGCTTCAGCAGCGCGTTTTGCGCGTGAACGCTTTGTTAGCTTCGCGTACTTCTTGTTTTTGCGGGACATTGAGGGAGGATTGTCGGAAAGATTGATGGGTGGTACTGATTCTCCGTGGGCTTCTTCCTCGAATTCTTCGTCCTCAAATTCTATCTCCCCGTCATCTAAGGATTCTCCGGCATCTTCAGCAGCCATACGTGCTTTGTGGTCGGCCTCGAGAGCGGAAGATAGGTCAAAGGAAGGGAATTTAATGCAAGTGGTGGGGACAGCGTTGTCTGTGAGCAGAAGCGAGTTGAAACCGTGTCAATTGAGAACAGCAAGGGGAGGGGGGGTTTTGTTTGAAACAACGGCGCGTTAGAACGCAAACCAGAACGAATTTACAGCCAACAGAGCCTTGCCTAGATGATGGGCTGGGCGTCTGTTGGCTGAGAAATTCGAGCTGGGAGAGAAACGTAGAAACATATAAGCATAATGAAAGAGCTCACCTGGGTTTGAGCCCATTTTTGGATGAGAGTTGGCGGTGGTGGGAGGGGTAAGAGGAGAGAATGCAGTCAACAAAGGCGCGTGACGGCGTTAAGGAACAAAGTCGCGCAACGCCGTTTAAGCGCGCAATCCGTTTTCGTCTCCGTTACAGCCATCCCAGCAAAACCTTTACCTCCAATCTGCCTCCAACAAACCGTCCACAACCAACGCCACAGCTACACTAATTCCGTCTCACTCTCACACAAAATTTCCGTCTCATTCTCACACAAAAAAGCTCGAACCGGAGCTGCGACGTGGCTACCTATTCTCTTAGTGAATGCGGTTGTCCGGGAATACCGTACGAACGGCTGAAGACAACGACCTTTCTCTTGTGAAGATCAAAGAGTATTCTCTTCCTCAAACAAAGCTTTGACCCAGTGCGTCATGTCCAGAACCGTATCAATATTCAGGTCTTTCTAACACATCTAACGCATACTCTAGCCTTATCTGAATCTTCTACCTTTTCAACTTCAAATTTTCGGACCCCGTCTTTCTCGCCCTTTATATTACCCAACTCACGCAACATAGAGGTGCTAAGTTTCACAACAAGGATAAGTTCGTCTACCGGTGCGCAGACCCTTTTTCGTTACTCCATCCAAACCTGATTGACCAACAGGTGAATCAGTTGAACTGCTGAAACACGGCGCCCTCAAGGCGTCCCTCCAGCTCTCCCTTCCCACGCCGCCATTCTCACAACGGCTTTACTCACCAGCCAGTCAATCGCGAAAAAACCCTCTCCAATCCCATCATCGCCTTCTCAAAACTCTGAACGCCGCTATCCCGATCTCTCTATACCTCAACATCCGCTTGTTATATCTCGGTATACAACCAACATGCGGGCAAACTGCGCCTCCTCAGACGCCGCTCTCTATATTCCTAACCAAGTAACAGGACGGTGCAAACGCCTCGCTTCCGCTTCCGTTCCATCCTCCTTCACCACTACCTCCTTCACCACTACCTCCTTCACCACTACCTCCTTCATCACTACCTCCTTCACCACTACTGCCCTAACACTGACCTTGCACTGCATCAAGGTCCACGCCAGACAAAGAACCAAGCGTTGCCAGGCTCTTCTTGGTTCTTAACGCCGACGGCAAACCCAACCTTACTCAACAAAGTTGGCATTTCTCAATGACGTTGCGCGCGGAGTTTCCAGACCAGCCTGCAGGGCCTTATATGTGCAATTTGGAATACAAAACTCATTCAGCAAGCGCGGACAATGTTTCTATGATAACTTTTGTAGAATGCTTTGTAACGGGCGTTAGTTTGGCGGTCCGAATGTTATTCTGTGTTATGCTCTGAATAAAAATAGGAGGCTGTCCTCTCATCTTGCTCAACCTCTAGTACATATCCGTATTGAATTCTAGAATGGGAATCAAAGATCTTTGGCATGTGAGCCTTCCTGACATATATTTTGTCATTTGTCCTCAGGCAGAATTCCACTCAGTTGGTAGATGATGCTGCGTTCACCTGCAAGCTCAGCGACTTTATCTTAGAGCACGGCTTCATTCGAGAACACTACGGGGCTCGCACAGTCGTCATTGGGATAGACATTAGGTACGTATCTGAATACTAACCGGGACATAATTCTCATGTATTCATAGCTCCTTCCTGGATGGTTTCCGTGCCGCTGATATGATTAAAGGGGGTCTCCACACATCAAGCTCGACCCTCACTCAGCTCTTTAAATTCTTTTGCGGCCTATCAAAAGCCAACGCTCACTGTCTCATTGTTTGGGATGGGGATAACCGACCGTCAATTAAACGAGGACATCGAGTAGTCGCACATGAATCAGATTACCAAAAGAAAGCAAAACTGATGGTTACTTACTTTGGGTACCACAACCACACGGTATGGATAATACAGAAAATTGAGTATAAATCATTACTGAACTTACTACAGGCCCCGGGCGAAGCGGAAGCGGAACTTGCAGAACTGCTTAAGCGGGGCATAATTGACACCGTACTTTCCAAAGACAGCGACGTTTTCCCCCTTGGTGTTAAATCTGTTCTGAAAGTTTTGAAACCGTATGTACCGTTCAGGTATTCTTATTATTGTCTGAGGATTTTGATGCATGTACAGGAATACAGCTGTCTCTGGAAATTCTTGGGAAGACCTCACCATCCGTGTGTATGACGCAGAGCCTGTACAGAAGTACTTAGGATATTCTCAGGGAGGTTTGGTTCTGGTTGCTCTGCTTCTACAAAACGACATCAGTGGTGGCGTCAACGGTATAGGTCGTCAGACTGCTCATGCCCTTGCCCGTAGTGGGTTCGGCAAAAATCTCCTCGATTACTACAATATGTTTTCTACAAAACCGGGTCAACTTTCCTGGGCCCTCTCGCAACTCAATGAGGACATGGCGGATGAAATTGAGCATAACAAACGAGGTCAAATGGGCTGCCGTAGTCCCATGCGGTCCAAAATCCTCCGGGAGTCTAACTTCCCTACCGACGGAGATTTACAGACCTTGCACGCGTTTTTAAAGCCCGTAACAAGCTCTTCACTGGGGCTTCAGCCTGTACCGATGTCACTACGGCTGCCAACTCTCCCTGATATTGGAAAAATCTTAGCGTTCTGTAATGACCATTTTTCTTGGTCTTCGAAACTTACCTTAGAACATTTCCATATTTGCCTCTGGCCTGGAGTGTTGATTCGAATGCTTTCATCTGTACGTCCATCAAAATACCGGTTTTCTGCTGATGTATAACAATATATACAGAAATATCTCGCCTACAACCCTGTCAATTCAGAAATAATCGTCCCCCGCCTACAGAGTCATTTTGAAATGAACAGCAAAGGAGGCCATTACATGCCCACATATTCGACTACAATCATCACCAAGAATCTCTTGGATTCTCCAACAAAGAACACGGGCGACAGTATCTCTGTCACTTTTAGTACTACGTTTTTTGTCGAACTTATGCACCTCAATCCTGCAGCTAAGTCTATGCGAAGCCGGAGGATTGATGTTCCTGTTGCCATGATTGCTGTTGCTCTGAACCGATTTGACAAGGTCAATGGTTTAAGCAGATTAATTGGTAAGTTTCCGTGTAAATTAACGGCGGTATTCCCTTAGCCAGTTCTCACCCTGCATTTCCAGGTCCCCGTCCACCTCCTGTTGTAAACCAAGATCGTAATGCTGAAGCATCAAGTTAGTTTTTTTCACTTCGTTGTTTGTGTTCTAGAATGATGCTGTGTTCATAGGTAGTTCACAAGCCTCTTTTGTCAACATTCCGTCAAAGCGAAAGCAGACATCTGTGGGTGAGAGCAGGATCAAACGCAACAAGGCTAGCGTTAAATCCCTCGGTATCATTGAGCTCACCGATAGCGAGACCAATAGTGAGAACGAGGATGCTCTTGCATGAGACTATCATTTGTTGTACTCGATGTAATACATGTATTTCAATCAATTCTTAACCTCTGTATAAACTCGAGAGCTGAGAGAGAACAGAAAGAAAAGTGCACAAGAAATAAGCGAGAGGCAAGTCTCTAGTAATACTCATGGAACCGTCTTTTTTTCCTGCCTACTAGGCTTCGTATTTTTTCAATCAGGGGAAGAAAGGCTCAAAAGACGAGGCCTATAAGAATAAAGACGATTTTACAAATAATCAGGAAGACGGCGCATGCTGTCATGAAGCTCAATGTATGCCATCGAAATATCCTCATTCAGAGTGCCATGTCACACATACAGTTTGTTGACTTGTGCACTTTTGTGCAGGGCTTGGCAGATCATAGATCTACATGGCTTGTAGATTGTACATACAACATGCGCTCACAGAGGGTATATAGTATCGAACTTACCACTGTAGTTGTACTTACCTGGCTTGTAGATTGTACATACAACATGCGTCCTCTGTGGGTATATAGTATCGAACTTACCACTGTAGTTGTACTTACCTGCTCACAATATCTGTACAGGATTTCCGCTTGTTGTAAAGACAGACCATATTCTAAACATGAGCAACTATGTAAATTATAATAAGTACAACGGACCATATAGTCTGGCGCGCGCGATCTCCATTGAAATATTTGGTCACTCCCGATGTTTTGTTGTGCGGCTGAACGGCTACTTATATGTAAGTAATGTACTCTCAATTTCCATCCTTCATCCGAGTCTACATCAGGTCTACATCTCCCATTTCTTTCAGCTCTTTTTAGGCCAACTTCATTATAGAATCATCTGCATTATTTACGATGGAATTTGCACAGTGAGTCTTTCATATACAATACACTCTTCTTCTTCATAATCAGAGCTCTGCACTTTTTGCCTCCCTTCCAATATTTACCACACCACCCACTGGAATTCTCTATTCCCTTGTCTCTGTTTAATGTTCAGCTGCGACTGCACCAGTTTCGGAAGGAAAAGGATCGCTTCGTTTTGCTCCCGCCGCCGTCGATTGCCCGCTCGTTCGCCGGGGCGCGTGGATCCGTCGGGTGATGCAGTGCAGTCCCTAAAGGGGACCTGTCATTACGCATCAGGTCACATCTCGTTATGTTCCGTTACGAGATGTGACCCGCATGGTCTTTCCTGTTGGTCTCAATTGCACTTCTCTCTCGGGAAAGACGGTGGAGTCACGCCCGGGATGACAGGGCCGGTCGGTTTTGATCGGGGTAACGAATGCACGTTCGGCCGTAACGTGCATTCGTGAATCTGAATGCTGATTTATTTTCATTTCATTTCATCGTTCACCATTCGTTCGCCGGTTGCTGTCCGTTTTGCTCCCCTCCATTCTTACCTAGTCAATATTTTATTTATTCTATAGTGTACCTGGCTGCCTGATCGACGATGGCGCCGCGGCCGGCTCGCTTGCACCCTTCGTCGACTCCACCTCTGCCACCAAGGACAACAACGACCTCTTGGAACCATATCTTCTGCTCGTTGTTAGCGTCCTAGGTTCACCGTGGTTCAGCTTGGTGTTAACTATAATATTCGGCACTATTATTTATTTTATGGCCACTATCTCTCTCAATTCAATGGATGTTGATCAAACAGCAGTGCAACCGAGCTCTTTCCCTACCTCTCTCTCCACCACTGCCAGCCCACCCTTCGAGATTGTTCGTTTCAAGGGACAGGAGTTTTGTGTCTGCCGTCCTGTCGAGCCACAGCCTGAGGACACTCTTGTCCTGCCAGAACGATATGAACATGTTAGATGAATACGGACATTAGGCCAAAGCAGGAAATACGAGTCCGGCCAGGTACAACTTTGACAATATATTTCACCTAGGTTTTCTTATCTTATATTTCGTATTCGTTCCACCGACAGTCAATCTCATTTATATTCAGTAGTTACGAAACTTCCCCGCCCTCAGCTTTCTACGAAACGCTGAGGGTGAGTCCATTACCTATACATCGTTTACTTATACTAACTTTATTTATTCTTATGTTAGTTTACTCGTTTGACAGGTATATATATTATAGAACGAGCTTTCTACGAAACGCTGAGGTTTACTCGTTTGACAGGTTATACGCCCCGCCGCTGTTGATCTAAATTAACTAAGATAACACCTCGCTGCGCTACTAAAGCTCACTACGTTCACTACATCCATATATCTTGAAACCAACAAATCATGGCTAGTAACGGCGCTGTTCCGCCTCCTATTCCAGAGGTTTCCGCAGATCTAAAATTTGACGGAGGGGTCAAAGTCAGCTGGACCCCCGTGAAACGAAGGATTGTGAACTCACTGAAAACCCAAGGCCTTCTCAGTTACACCGATGGGACCATCACCAAGCCTCCCCCGATTACCATCACCATCTCCCCTCCCACTCGATCTCCATCCCTTGACGCAGGAGCTGGGACTGTTCCCCCTCCATCTCCAGAACCAACGAGGGCGACAGCAATCTTCTCCCTAAATCCCTCCCTAGAAGAATGGGTATTCCAAAATGACCGTGCCAAAGGGATAATAGAGTCACATGTTGATGATCTACCATCCCTGATGCCGGACGTAGATGAGAAGACTGCGAAAGAAGTCCTGGATACGCTGGAGAAGGAGTTCGCTAGAAAAGATGGGATGCGGAAGGTACTTACAGAGCAAAACCTAAGATCCCTGACGTTCCGCGAGACCATCCCAATTGATGAGTTCTTTAATCAACTTCGTGCACTGCAAAAGGATGCGGTCAAGGCTGGGAATGCTATTTTGTGTTAGACTTCCTCCGCCCGGCGTACGCACAGCCCACACATTCTGCTTCCGTTTGATTACATATACAATACTATACAGTTTATCAGCCACCTGCGAGTGGCGGACAAGGGCTCCCTCAGTTGTTTCCATATCCAACTGAGGTGAGCCCCGTATTACCCACTTACATATATAGCATACTCACAACATACATAGTATTCACTACCTGACAGGTACTTAATACAGTTGTTTCCATATCCAACTGAGTATTCACTACCTGACAGATTATGAGACTCGTCATCTAGAAAAAAAAAAAGGAAAACACACAGAGCCACCGAACCACGATGTCATCGTCATCAAACATGCCGAATGTCCAACGATTCCCCGCGGGCTTAACACTCGAAGGGGAGGATAACTGGTGGCCGTATAAGCGGGAAGTCAGCCTTGCAGTAGAATCAAAAGGACTACAAGGGTACCTACATGGAACCATACCCAAGCCCAGAGACACGAAACCCGCAGTGACCGTTACCTCCCCAGAAGGAGCAACAACCACAACTACACCAACAACCCCACCGTACAGCCAAACCCCCTCACCTGAAGAATGGTACGCTCGCGATCGATACGTAGCAAGTACCATAGTCTCGAACATCACCGATCCAACGGGGCTAGGAGTAGACTACACTGAAACTGCATCAGTAATCTGGCAGGATCTCGTTAAGCAATTCGAACAAAAATCGGAGGAACTCCTACTATTCCACGATAGCAATCTCCGAGCCCACCGCTACACGTATCCCGAAGAGACGATGGAGGAGCACAAAAGGACTATGCGAAACCTGCTCAGGAAGGCCACAAACGCTGGCGCAGTAATAACAGATGGTCAATTTCGCGTAATTGTACTCGCATCGCTCCCCAAGGACTGGGACGCTGACATCAGGCACCTCCCGGGAAAAACTAGCAGCGAGGCCTTCATCTATCTCCAAGGCATCTGGCTGCAGAAAGAAAAGAGGCGGACAGAAGAGGAGCGGGAGGAGAAGAAAGTCAAAGCGTTACTGGCAACACACGTAGCAAGCGCACAGACCCCAGACAAGAACAGGCCGGTATGCACAAACCCCAACTGCAGGAAGGTGGGACACACTATCCAGAAGTGCTGGGCCAAGGGAGGGGGTGTGGAAGGCAAAGGACCGAACGGTTGGAGGTTTAACAAGAACAACGAACCGAACAGGTACCAGAACCCTGGAAACGCGGTAGCGGCCACAGCTAGTACAACGACTGCAACCGCGACACCCCTGGAGACATACGTCTTGTCAGCCAACACCACCAGAGACAGTGCAAGTACGTCACCGTCCAGTACTCCCCGCCAAAGCGCGCCCCCAACTGACCGATCCCTTGGCAGCAATGATCATACCTTTCTAAGAGTGTGGGAGCATCAGGGGACAAAGAAGGGGAACGGGAGTGAGGACGTACATAGACACTACATAGTACCCAGACCACAAGTACATGCGGCGCGCCGAAGTAATACACTCCTCTATGCACCCATAAAGTCCTCACACACCCGAACGTTCATCGATTCCGGAGCAACTGAACACTGCTGGGTGAACAGGTCCGACTTCGTGGAATACAGCCAGGTACAGGGACAGAGCGGGAATAGCGCGCTAGCAGGGGACGCCGGAAAGTTTAGGATAGATGGCGTAGGGACCATCGAGTTTCTGACCAGAGTCGGAGAGGTAGCACGGCGAATTCGACTCACGAACGTAAAGCACACACCTGAGTTCGGACACAACCTAATCTCCCTGTCATCTCTTGATCAGCGAGCCTTCAAAGGGGAGTGGGGCAACGGAGCACTAAGTGTCAAGACACCCGAGGGACTAGTAGTGATGATGGGGAAGGGGGAGACCAAAATGTATGAGGTGGAGATACTAGGCGAGACGCTAGCCAACTCAGCGAGATCCCACGAGAAGCCAGCCGATATACACACCTGGCACCGACGCCTGGGACACGTAGCCGTGCCAAGGATCCTGCGAATGGAGAGTCAGGGCTTGGTGGACGGCCTACAAATCAAGTCGAAAAAGGTGGCCGGAATGTGCGTCGACTGCTTGTATGGGAAGGCAACGCGTAGACCGTTCGACGAGAAACTCACCCACGAAACGGAGGTTCTCGAGAGAGTCCATATCGACCTCTGGGAACCAGCCACTACCCAGAGCATTGGAGGGGCAAGGTACATGATGCTCTTCTCAGACGGGGCATCATCGGT